TATATATATATATATATATATATATATATAATATAAAGATAGCTCAAAAAAATTTAAAAATAAAGAAGAATAGAAAAAAGGCTGCATAGTTCTAACGATTTGAATTTCATATTGTGGAAAATAAAAAATCTGTCTATGAGATAATCTTTTTGCGTTAGAAATATAACTGCTTGGTTACAAAATAATTACGAGATTATATGTATCAGCTGATGAGTAAATTTACATAAATGTCGTAAAATATAGTCAATTCTTTTTCATTTACAAATAGCATAATTGTGGTTTTTCGTAACCGCATTGCTATGCAATTATCACGAAGCTGTAGAAACTTACTCTTTCTTCGGCACCTGAGATACCACTAGCTATTGGTCGTAATGGTTTCCACAAGTCTCCCGTAGAAACGTCGCTAGCATGTTTCGATTTCGGTGGTTTACAAACAAAGTTCTTCGGATCAAGTGGAATCGTCGTCGCGCCAACAGTTCGTCTTTTATCGTAAGCTCTTCTTTCCATGGCTGTAGATTCCGCGAGTTTGTCCTGACTCTTGCCAAAAAACTGACTGAGAAGTTTGTTCTTAGTAGATTCCTGATTGTCAGCAGACGCACCTTGACCATCCTTCTTTTTCCCGCCCTTTTTTGGTGATTCTTTAGTAGGTGACGTCTTTTCTTTATCCGCCTCTTTCTTCTCAGTTGCGATCAAAGGTTTATCCTCGAGAATTGCATAAAGAGTCGCAACGATAAATCTGGATCCGTTAATTTCCTCCTCGACGACCTTCGATTTGCCAAACTTTTGCTTAGTTTCTTTGCGCAAGGGAAAAACAAACTCCTCGTTCCACTGTGGCCAAGATTCATTCTTCGTGGTGGTCTCAAACTTTTCTTTTCCAGGAATTAGCTTTACCTAAAAAAATTCGAATTTTCAATCTTTCCGATATTGATAATAAATTTTGATTTGCTTATGATTTATTGCGTAAGTTTTAAAGTGAAAATATACATAATTCATATATATATATATATATGAATTATAAATGAGAATAAAGAATTATTTTATATAAATAGATGATTAAAATAATCCTATTTTGATTTAAAAAAATTAATATAAATTATATATATTATATAAACTAATAGTTCTTGAGTCAATTTTTTAAATCGTAATCAACTTATTTTATTCATCATTTAAAAAAAATTAATTATCCATTTTTTGTTTTCCCATGAGAATACATTTTTCAAGAAAGAATTCTTTTAATTAGATAATTAATTGAGATATTTCATCGACTAATTAAAAATGAGATATTCTATGACTCTAACTTTTATGATTAAATTTTCCTTTAGCGGTAATGAAATCAAATTAGAAATATTTATGACGCCATTCTGATAGCAGATATTTCAGATATTGACAATCCATATTCTCGATATTGAAGTGTTAAATCGATTTCTATTTGCATGCGCAGATGTATTTAGCTACACTTTCATTTAAATATGTCGTCCCGTTCGCGTGACAATGTCGGAGGCAGTCGTAAAGAACATTCTGTTGCCAGTCAATAAATAAGATACTACAGTCAATGCCGGACTTCTATAATATGTTACTCATATGGTATTACGTAATCATAGATAACACCCAAGAGTGCTGCGAGCGTCTCTGCGACTTACGCATAATACAGGTTCGACTACGACGAAGCGTAACCGAGCACGATCTCGCAGTTTGCATAGAAGTGTTGGCTAACGACTAGCGATTTATCGAACGACGTGATTATTTCATCTCGCTCATTTTATCATCACAGATAAAATCGACGTGTTAAAAAAAAAAAAAAATAAAGATAATGAATATAATCATTCCGTTTAATCAATAAATTTAAATGGCTACATTTACCGCTAAATGTGCGGTCGAGAATACAAACTCTTGATTGACTGACATTGTCTCTTGTTTGCTCAAATGCGATCGATCCACATTCTCGAGTTATTTTCTCGTGTTTACCTTTACGACGTAGCTGTTGACTCTGGTGAAGCCGAAGTTTTGTGGCAAGTGTCTGGCACCGAGCACGGTGACGTTCAGTGTTTTATCGTTTGGCGAGTGCACGATTCTAATGCCAACTTCCGGCTCCAGATTCACCGTGCGATCTAATGGCGTGGACACCGTCTTCAGGCCGCTGTCGATGAAATTTCTGATTTTAGCCAGCGCCATGTTCGCGCAATTGTCTTCTCGAATTAGGTCCTCTCGGAATTCCAATTACGTTTGCTTATCAGCAAACGTGTGATCGTTTAGATAACAGGCTTGATCACCGTGGGCTCGGTAGCGTTGTCCACGAGCACTGCAAAATTCTATCGTGAGCACCTTACTACAAGAGTTAACAGCAATCGCATACTAAAAGTGTGCTATTAATAAACGCGTGTATATAATGCGGCGTGATGCCGGTTTCCTGGACGTCTAGAGACAGAATTTTCGAAATGACGTAAAGTTGTTTACTATGCGCAACGGCAAGAATATCCGTTAGATAGATTTCATTGATAACGAAAAGATCTTTCATTTTCACATTATCGTTTGGACTGTAATAACGGTCATTATTAAAATGCTGATATAATAATTTTGTTTTGTTGTTATATCAGTATTTTATTAGCCGCAATTATTTTTCGCTTGGGAATAAAATTATTTATCTTATTTATAGAATATAAAGATAATTAAATTATTTATAGAATATAAAGATTGTAAAATATAAAGATCATTTTACAGATCTACACATGTTTACGAAATTTTTATTATCAGAAAGACATTAAAGAAACATCGTTCGCTTTCCAGGCGAGTCTCTTAATTTTAAATCGTAAAATATAATTGTAAATTCTTCAATTATAAAACAACGTGCTTTCTCTTCGTATTGAGCAACACAATACTTCTATCACTAACAGCAGGTGATTATCAGTTGTTCTGAATCGGCTACAGCGGCCCGGCCCTTTCGCTTCCGGCGCAATAAAACCGTGTGTGCGCAAAAGAAAGAATCGTCGAGAGTGTCGAAGAAAATGAGCTAACGCGATCGAACTTTCCCCGCGAAGAAAGAAAAAAAGCTTCGCCCCGACACGGTACTTATTGATCGATTCAGAGCGATCGTATGACTCGCTATGCAGAATGCCGCGAGGAAAATCACGTTTAACACCGGGACCTATGATGGTACCGACCTCGATTATCACGTTATTAACTAAGGGGAATTGACGAGCTAAATGCGATAGAGACGCCCTGTCATATCTCATCTTCTTAATAGAGACTTCAACGCTCGGTCATATCATCCGGAGCAGGAAAAACAAAGACGACAATATCTAATCTTCTTAGATTTAGAAATTCGAGGATTCAGAAATTCTTCAAGTTTATAGATTCAATAAAACTTGATTTCTGACTATATCACTCAAAGCGTGCTTTTTAAAGCATTCCTCGCGTCGATACGATTCTTCTCTTACAGAAGCGAACGGTAAATATCCAGCAACGGCGCAGCGAACGTTCCTACTTATTTTCATTTAATCAGTTTAGTTAATTAGCCAACGTAGAATTTTTTTTTGTATTTATTGGAAGCATCCGGAAGTGGCCCGTTATTTTATCCTCCATTCAACTTAGCATGCAGCAGTTTTGAATTATAAGAAGAATCACGACACACCACCGGGTCAGGTAAACATATCAGATAACTTGTTCCACGCGCGACACCGCAGTAATACCGAAATTATTCGTAAACCACGTGACGTTGCACGTACCATAATCGCGATTCTGACGATTCGTAGCGAATTGCAGCTGCGGCGGCCCCGAGATTCCGAGAGCGAGCAGGAGGAGGAGGATCTCGTTGTTGACCGGCGGAGCAGCAGCGGTCTCCGCTATATCCACGCGTCTGGCCGGTTTACGACTGGTGAGGGTTCCTCGCACGATCTTCGCGTTGATGGCCAACGGTGTCAGACGCTCGATGCCATGGTCACACCAGCGAAAGCGATCGAACGCGTACGCGCGCACCACCACCTCCGCCGATCGCCAGGAGGAATTCACCGAGGGCTTTCACCGCACACGACGTAGTCGTCCGCAATCGCGTCCGTAGCGCGATCCAGCGCGCATCGCGAGATCGCACCGAGGCGATCGTTCAAGCGATCATCGGGAACGATCGACGAGATCTCTGAAACCCCATGAATGGTCGCTCCGTAGGCGATTGCGCGCGTGTGATCGACGTTACAATCGTGACAGTCGTCGGCTCCGTCTGCGCGCGACGCGCCGCCGTGGTATGCAGCTTGCTCTCGCGTGGGTTCCCTTTATAAGAGACCAGCGTGGCCGGTTCGCAGTGACGGATGGTAACGAGGCATTTTCCGATGGGAAAATCGCCCTGGAATTTGTAGGGAAACAAACCTCAATAAATATCAATTAATCACTTGATATTAATTAATCAAAGTGGCATTGATATAATTTCCCATTCAACGATACACAACACATATTGTAGATAAGATAACATTATTGAGTAAGGAAATTACAATATTGCATATAATGTTGCTGTTAATTAGTATTTATTACATGTAAAAAATGTATTAGAAATTCTTCTAATAAATTAATCTAACTAATTGCCGGAGGGACACTCTTTGCATGTGTATTATGTATGAATTATAATAAATTTTTGTTTTACGTATTTTCCGTTTATTTTTGCATATGAAGTGCATGTACGAACGTTATTATTATTTTACTCAATAGACATTTAATACACAATTAAATTTACTGTTAATTTTATTTCATCGAAAACTGATTTTAATTTTTTAATTTTTATACAAATTCAAGAGTCAGCGAAGATATGTGCCATTACGGTACTGTCGTAAAAGTGACCGTTGCCGTTAAAGTAGGGGACTTTACTTGTGTATTCACCGTACATCGTACATCGTTTCTAGATTGTAGAGTGTGGTTGTAAAGTAACGCCTGTTGCGCTCACAAGGTCGCACATTCACATTATACATTGATGAATACGTACAGGTATATGAATGTGCAGGTGCATGAATGTTCACTAGCTTCTGCGTGAGTAAACACAACTACATGAATGATTATCTGAGAGAATACAGGACCGTAAATAGTCGCAATTCTCCTTGTTCAAGGCAGACTCGGGAAAAAATAAATAAAAATATTTTTTCGATAAAATATTTCAGTATTAAAATTAATGTATATAAATTATAAATATAAAATTTTAATACATATTATACATATATTAAAATTTTATATCATATGACATGATATAGGCATATTTTTTCGTAAAACAAGAAATCTATGAGAGATGATAGGTATGTAAATATCAGGAGAAAGTATTTAGAGTATCGCATGCAGCCAAGCATAAAAAAAATTACAAATTAATGATGATAAATTGATAAACCGGATCAGCAAATCTTATTTAATGTGCAGAAGCGTGATAACGAAGAAACAGAGAATCACAAAAAATATGTTACGTAATATAAATTTATATGTCTAGATGCGTAGAAAATCTAATTATAATGTCACACGATGATCTCGTGCAAGCAGCTGGAAAGAATGCGGTAGAGAATGCATCGTGTTGCATAGAAAATGAATAGTGGCAATTGCATTAGAATACGGTGCGTTCAATATATATGGTATGTTGCTGTTATAAGTACTCATCATCACTGAATAAATTATTTAAATGTTTAATGTATTTTATAAATGTTTTTAACATTTGTCTAGCTTATGATTTATCACGGCTTGATCTTTAAATCTCTCATTTTAATATGAGAGGCGATGCTGTAAAAATAAAAGATTTTATAAACATTGAGACGCACATTTAATAATAATGTTTATAATCTAAACTATTTTTATTATTTATTTCTATTATAATGTTTCTAATTTGTTTCCTTTTTACTTATACTCGCGCTTACAATAAACAATAGATTTTACGAGAACAAACATTCACATTCGCGGCTGCATTATTTCAAACGCAACAGTATTTAAATACTGCGTTCTGGATGATGCTCCATGCGTACTTAATTGCATTGATCGCACGTGATGATATGCAAGGATTGCTCTGGCAGGTAATCGTGACCTTCAAAGTTAAGTAATATTTGTCATTCATATTGAACAAGCTACATCCATTGTAAATCTAATTTGCTATCGTTGTCTTCTTTAAAAACATAAACAAGCTTCTCCATAAAATAAATAATTTTACATTCATTATAAACGAATAGGAACAAAGTAGAAATTTAAAAAAAAGCGATTACCTAATATGGATATGTAAAATTAAATAAAGTTAGATAACAGGAATTAATATTTTCTGCAGAAGTTAAGCGATTAGGAAACGAGAGGGTTGAAAACAGCTACTTGCATCCTACTGCAGATGGCAATAACTGCAATCATCAACCCCTCCTTTTTGCCCCCAACAACCCCCATGGTTGACGAACAGCTGTTTAGCACCGCCATGGCGCACGCGACATCGCGACGTCAAAAACACTTCGAACAATTTCGATTTATTCATGCTGAAAAAATCTTTCCGCGTCGCGATAAGATTTATCTCGTAGTAAATTTTCGATCGTAAACCGTAATTTTACGATAGTGTTTTGGATTGTGCCAATCGTACTCGTGAGTGAGATCAAGATGACATTTCCGAAGTATTCATATGAATTTTGATCCTTAAGAGGTAGGAATTTATCTTTTATTTATTTTTTAAGACTCCTTTTAAAATTTTAAACATTAATTTAGAAATAAATATTGTGTAATTTTTGGAAATACTATGCAATGAACATAATTGGTAGATTAAAAAAAGATAATAGATATAAAGATATAAAGATATAATGATATAATAAAAAATGATTTCTAATTAACTGTTTTAATATATAAAGTTTAAATAATTTTCATGTTATAGGAACAATATATTTTATTATGTATGTTATAAGATATTATTTCAATAAGATATTAAATTATTTCTAAAAAAATAATCTATTTATAAAGCATATTAAAAATCCTTGAATTGCT